GAAAGAAAGAAAGAAAGAAAGAAAGAAAGAAAGAAAGAAAGAAAGAAGAAGGAAGGAAGGAAGGAAGGAAGGAAGGAAGGAAGGAAGGAAGGAAGGAAGGAAGGAAGGAAGAGTGAGGAAGGGAGGGAGACAGGGAGGAAAGCTTAAAATCTGGCTTGGTGTTGAGATATATTATTGGTCTATAAAATACTAAAATGTCTGCTTGTATTGAAATAAACGAGAACTGGCTTTCCAGAGAATCACATGGACTTGGAGATTTTAATTGTCACGATAAAGTTTGACTTACACAGCATTGACAGAAAATGGGAAATGCTGTAGCCTGCCATTTCTGTTATGTGAACTGTGACAGAGGCCGAACACTCACCAGATGTCTTTCTTCTTGGAAGGTGGAGTGGATCCAACAGCAAGTGGTGAAAAAACGAACCAAGAGGGATTATGACCTCAACCGTGCCCAGTCAACCTACTTCAATGATCCCAAGTGGCCAAGTATGTGGTACATGGTAAGTTCACCGAGGAAGGCTGGCTATGGCCGTGTTGTCCAGTTCTGTGGTATAGGAAGACCTTTTAGTGTTCACCTCTGCTAAACCCTGTGCTCTGAGTTCATGAAGATGCTAGGACTTACACATCATTGAAATTACTCTGCTGGCAAGTGTTACCTGACTTGTGGCCTAATGTGTGTCAGAAAGTGTTTGACCCATTCAAGGAAGCCAGTTTAAGTGCAAGCATGTCACTTAAACACAGTAAGGGAAACTTGTTGGAATGAACAAGGTGCTAGTGCACTTGACCTTGCCTCCTTGGGACATGTGCCTCCCTAGTCTTAGAGTTTCTACTTCGTGATTCCTGAAAGATGGCTTGCAAGACATGACTCATTCTCCATCATGAATCCATATGTCACCAGTTTGCTCTGTAAGCTGTAAAAAGCTTGTTGCTGTTTCTCTTTCTTGAAAATTTTTATTGCTAAGTGTTGCCAGGGTATTTTCCACTGCACTATGTTTTATAATCCTTGTCTCATCTCCACATGTCTCCAACTGATGAAAAGACACCAGCCACAGGATTTTTGCATGCTTTTCACATATTTTCCTGGATCTTGGCCTTTTATTCCTGCTGGCTGCCAAGCACTTTGCTCTTCTGCCCTCTGGGTCAGTGTATTGTATCACAGATGTTGCACCCAGGATCCACTTCTCTAGAAGCATGCCCCATTTCTCTTCTAGCGTCAAGTTTTTGGCCTCTCATGTCTTGAGCCCTCCACCCCTGTTGCTCATATCAGCTACCCCTGTGTTGCTGTCATAAAACACTGTGATGAAAAGTGTCTTATGGGAGAATGTTTATTTCAGGGTACAGTTCCAGAAGGAAAGCCTATAATGGCAGAGGGGCTTGGCAACAAGCATTGTGGCAGGTGCAGGAAGCACAGAGATCATGTATCAGTCTCAAATAGGAAGCAGTGGGTGAATTGGAAGCTGAATGAAACTAAGCTTTCAAAGGACACTCCCAGTGACACACTTCCTCCAGCAAGGCTGCACTTTCTAAAGGTTCTATAACCTCCCCAAATAGCCCCACCAACTGGGACCTATTATTCAAATACACGAGCCTATGGGGATTATCTATCATTCAAATCACCACAGTGGTGGTACCCTTCACCAGCCATTTTGCACTCTGGTCATTAATGTTGTTGATGAATTTGTTCTGTTGTATTGAGGATTAGCTAAGGGAAGGCTCTACACTTGGATCTTGGTTTGTATCCCTTTAAGAACTCAGGCTGCTGTAGTGTTGGAGACTCATGCTTATTTGGAGGTGGAGGAATGTGGCTGGTATGGCTCCCAACTCTCATTTTCTTGGACTTATCTAAAGATGGAAGGTTTTAGAAGTATTTAGAATCCCAGCAGAATCTTAAATGAGAGCTCTATTATATGTAAAGAGAAAAGAAAAAAAACTGATGTGAACTTCAAAGAGATTGGGAATCAAGAAGTGATTTTACTAGGGTCATCTGAGGGGACAGAGACACATGGCAGCTGGCTAGCTTTGAGATAGAGAAAGAATGAACCACAAATTGGGGACATCTGAATTAGTGTTAGCAGGAGTAAAGGGGGCTTTGTCTACACAGACAACTTTGGAGTGGATTTCTGAACTTTAAAAACAAGATGGAAAAGGAAAGTGCCTCCATATGATTGTTTATAAAGCCAGGTGAGGGACTGTCTTTGCCTTGTGTCACAGTTCTTCTCCCATGAAAGACTCACTTCTGCCTTTGCTTGCCTTCCTGGATAAGAATAGGACACCAAACTTCCCTCTTCCTCTTACTGTACTAATGAGACAGAACGGGAACTTGGGGAGATGAGGGATACCACTTCAGCACCATGGAGCTCCTGCCTTTTGCATTGTTGATACTTGTAGTTTTATTTTACATTTATTAATTCTGTCTCACTATTTCCATCCTCCCCCCTTGTGTGTATGTACATTCAACCATGTGGAAGTCAAAGGCAACTCATGGAAATCAGGTTATTTTCTTCTGTCATGTGAGTTCTAGGGATGAATTTGGGTTGGGCTGTCAGACTTGATAACAAGTACCTTTATGTTATAAGACATCTCACTGGCCAGTGGCCTCTTTTTTGACCAAGACCTCCTTGCTGACCGAAGGCTGCCATTCCTTTTTCCCAAAGAGCTTCCCATTTTCCACTGGGTTTTCTCAGCCTCACATGAGAAAGGTTGAGAGAAGAGGTTTGCTGGAGTTCTTTAAAATGCAGAAACTTGACAATGATTTCAGTAGGTCACACTTGCTGACTGCTTACTGTGTTCTAAGCAATGGACTAAGCACCCTATGAGCATTTTTTCTGATTTTGTCTAAAAATCTCTATTAACATGAGCTATGCTATAAGAATGAAGAAGAATCTGAGTCTCAGGTCCAAGTTCACTAAACCTGGTAGAGCTGAGATGCACACTGCAGGCTGATGTATAGCCTATCAATGAGCAGAGAATCCTACTCCCACCTCTGTGCTATGAGAGATCCTGGGAGGGATGCTAATCTTGCCCACCATGAACTTCTAATATCTTCACAGAACAATGGCTGAAAAAACAAGACAGAACCACGAGTGCCATTCAGGATAAACGTAGTTTGAGAATACTTCAAAGATTCTTATTAAGTTACTACTACTCTCATAAGGAAAAGAACAGGAAGCAGATTGCAGACCTAAGATCATCTTTTGGACATATTGTGATCAAATGAGAGCCAGGATTCTTAAATCTGGAAAGCTATTCAACCCTCATGGCCTCCCTTAGTATGTTTATGTTTGAGTCCCATAAATGCTCCTCTACTACAGTGTGACACTGCCTTGCTCACCCCTGTGAATTACTTATTGCTGCATGGCAGGATCCCCCAGAGTTGTCTTCATAGAAACTATTATCTCATTGGTTCTGCTGGTCAGAAATCTGAACAGAGCTGAAAGGAAGTGGCTGTGCCATCTTCTGCAATGTCTGGGGTTTCTGTTGAAAGCCCAAAGGATTCCACGAGAGAGACAATTCTGCTCTCAAAGTGTTTACTCAGGTTTCTGGTGCCAATTGGTTCCTCTCCAGAGTGACTGCATCAAAAAACCTGATTGGTTGTCACTTGCTATTGTTCTAGCTTCCCCTAGGCAAGAAACCAAGTGGTTATGATCCTACATCAAACCTTGGAAGCCTTAGGGAGTTTTCTCTTTCAGTTCTCAGTGTTAAATTTCATTTCATTAGTGAGAAGAGTCAACCCCAGCTTTGCGCTGCAGAGGACTGCCTCTCAGGTGTGCACAGTAGAGGAGGCAACGCTTATTGCTGTGCCTACAGAGATGACTCCCAAGGTTCAATGAAAGCTTGTGCAAGAAGCATTGCACAGTGCCTGGTACCCATGTTACATCATAATTATTGTGCTTTGGCTTCTCAATCACATAATTAACCTAACTCAGCATATGTAAGTGACATTATATTTTGCTGTTGTTTCTTTCTCTGCCAGGATCATTTTATTTGTTGCTTTAATACCGCTTTAACAAAGTTAGAGTTTATGGCCAATGCACAATCTTCCTATCACTCCTGATGACATATTAGATAGAAGTCTAGCTAAAGTGCATGTGCATTTCTTTCTTCCATTTTCCAAGCACCATTCCATGTGGTAGCATCTGCTGGCTACTTGGTAAGTCTCCATGGGCTCCTGCCTCCAGTTCAGTGGCATGAGCCCAATCTTGTCATTTCATGTTGATCACAAAAGAGCACATAAGAGGCAGAATGCTTTTTAAAATTTATTTAAAAGTTTTGCCCAAGATCTTTTCTGCCTTGGAAAATGGCGTACGGAACCATTCTGCCTAGCTTTGCGGCTTAGCACACTTGTATCCAGAAGCATGTGTTTGGAGAATTTGTGGTGGACATATGGTTGTAAAATTTCTCCTCTATCTTAACAGACTCTGTCCAGGTCCACATTCAGGAATCAGAAGTATCAGTACTAGAATTACCACTCTTGGCCTGTTGCATCAACTTCTGCCTTCCTTCTGCTGGCTGGCATGTGACATACACCAGCTATGTAGATAAATACCAATGATCTATATCTCCTAGGAAGATCAGGAAAGCAGAAAAGTATTTGATAGGAACATAACAGAGCTTGAGAGTAAGTGGCTCTTCTGCAAGAGCTTCCTGACAGTCACTTACAGACGTGCAGCCACTGGTTCTTGGGCAGTGACTATAATTTTGTTTGCAGACTTGATTCTACGAAAGTCTTGGCCCCACCATCATGCAGCGATGCTCTCTGTTTTGGTATAGAGTGGACTTCAGGCAGTGGGGTGGTTCTAATGTGCATGTGTGGCAAATACTGAATAAATATAAGTTGCATAAATGAATGAGCAAATTTGCTATCACTCTGTAGCAGAGAAAATAATTGCCTGCATTTAATGAGTTCCCCATGTTACGCCAAGTCTTTTGCTAACTCTCTTATGTAGTAGATTATCGCCAGTGTTGCAGTGAGTTAGGCTTTATTATCATTGCCACTTTATGGATGAGTATATTAAAACATATAAATGTTAAGCAATTTGCTGAAGGTCACCCACTGAGCAGGGGCAGAGCTCAGTGTTCCAACCCATCTCTGCACCTGCAGCACTAGGCTTCCAGTTTCTCTCTGCACCTGTGGTCCATAAACTGTCAGACAGCGGAATCACCTGGAGAGTTTGAGACTGATTATTGCAGATCCTTTCCTCCTTTCCCCACAGCATGGTCTGGGACAGTGCATTCTTTATAAGTTCCTTACTGATGAGGTGCTGTTGTCCAGGAGTCTCTGTGAACAACCACCTGTGCAGCCTTATCTTGAACACAAGGCTGTAAGAGCATACCTTATTTTGTCTCCTAGTTATCAGATAGAAGAAAGGTTTTTAAGCTTCTAGGGGCATTTTAAATCATACCTGGTCAGCTTACGTTTGCTTTTTCTGACAGCATTTTCAAATAGAGGATAGCTAAGCAAGGGGTATTTTCAGTCAAATTTTAGGTTAAATGAAAATAT